CCACACTCACTACGCGCCCCTTTTTTGATCCAACCTACCTGCAATCAATGCATAAATTTATCAGCTCTAAACAGTGTACCACAGGCACATTAGTTCCAGGTGTTACAGTTTCGATAGCCGGAAAACGGGATTGTGGGACATAGAGCCAAGGCGATGGCATATTCAGTTCGTCAAGAATTTGGGTAGCTGTGCACTGAAGGCGATAGCTTTGATGCACAAGTGTCACTGGCTGCGCGGTTGGGCCACTTCTGCCAATGCCATTAACCATTGGTTAGTTCAGTCCCGGGGTCCCCATCCAGGGAGGTGGAAGTTGTCGACTCATAATAATTTTACTGGTTAGTGTTTTCGTACTTCGTTGTCGGGTCATACGGTCCACCTCTCGGCCGCTTCCACTGAGCGCAGAGCTTGGAAAAAGGAGATCTGAGGCGGATGGTCTTCTAGCATGCAGAGTACATGTCCTAACCAGCGCAGCCTATGAAGCGAGTGATTCATCTATCGTGAGAAAGTTCCCTTTTCCTAGGACCACCTGGCATCCCTTAGCATTACTAATCCGGTGTTCCTACCAGACCTGACCAACGCTTCGGAGACACCGATGGTCAAACACTGACATCTTCCGTATGTCCTCTGCGGGTGGGGGACACGTTTCTGACCCACAAAGCAATACGGATCACCACCGGATCAACAGATAAACTGGCGTCACATCGGCGCTATAGGTGTCGGAAGTTGGCAATAGCTGCCCTGGCCTTTTCAATTAGAAAAAAATCTCATCTGCGGCCAGTCCACCAGAAGTTATACAGCTGCCCAGGTAAACAAACTTATCTACCACGTCGACTGGCTTGCCTGCAAGCATGAAGTGTGGGTTTGACCTCACCGTCTTATAACAGGTAAATAAATGGTCGATTCATCCTTGAACAGGGCGAAACCCAGCTTGGTTCCCACGAATCTCTCTCCCAATATTCTTGCAGCCTGCGCAAAATAATGCCAGAGAACACCTCAGATGCGACGGATACCAGGCTGATACCATGCTGGTTCTCACATGACGTTCTTGCGCCCTTTTTGAAAACTGGAATGATGGTCGAAGAGCTCCATACGGCTGTTATTCTGTTTTCCTTCGAAATCTGTAGTATGGTTGTCAGACTATTCATCAGGACATTGCCACCTTTGGAAAGCGCGGGGTGTAGACCGTCCGGGCCAGGTGCCTTGTTGCACCTCAGGATTGTAATCTCGCGCTGGATCTCGGTTGCTGATGGTGGGTTGTTGTCAATGTTCCATTCGGGCCGCTTGGTTCTTCCGGCGGTTGTGTTGAAGGTGACCAGGTGAACTGTTCTTGTTCGCCGCTCAAGACGGCGATTAAGGGAGTGGGTTGCTGTAGCGTTTTTTTCGCATATCGCCTCACTGACAGCTGCCTTCTTTTGACCGGTTGATCAGTTGAAACAGGGCGTGGCTGTCGCCCGTGGCGAAAGCCTTCTCCATCTCCTGGGCCTTCAAAATCCACTGGCGTTCCCTAGCATTCTTCAAGCTCCTGATTATCCGGTGTTTGAGGGATTCGCGCGCGTCATCATAGTCGCTAGTTGCCGGTATGGCCTTTCTGGTGGCAATAAGATCTGCTGGTCTCAATGGTGTCTAGTGTTCATTTAGTTGACTCAGATGGGCCGGACAAACAGTTCTGAAAGCTGAGAGCATTGTTTCTTTAACTCGCCTCCATTCATCCTCCAAGCAATCTTCGTCGTATGCGTGACTGTGCGCTTCCAGTAGTTTTCTAGGTGGATTAGCTCGATACCCTTTAGCTACTGAAACTTGTCGGAGTTGATGTACGAAACTGTTCTCTTTTGACGCGTGTACTGTTGGCAAAAAGCGAAGTGCTAAGCGGGCCCGCACCATGGCGTGACCAGAGTCAAGTTGCGTACACCAGAAGGAACGACAATCCTTAACTGAGGCTCTCCATCGGTAACTGATAGCCATATGATCTAATTGAGTCCACGACTGTCTTGTGGTAGGTGACCACCAGGTAACTCGATGTGAGCGTACTGGCCAGGAACAGACGATGATCTGCACACAACCAAAGGAGCCACTCTACTAGAAATCAGTAGCTTTTTGGGATTTAATGGTGAAGCTATAATGATTCCATTCCAGAAAGTCGTCCGTAATTAGTGGAAAATTCCACAAGAGGAGCAATACCAAATGGATAACCATTAACAGCGACGGTTTTGTCTGGCTGTTTTGCTGAAGAAATGCGCACTATGCGGAAGCCGCTAGGAGGGTCTCTAGTACAGTATGCAAGGTCGCCAACCAACACACGTTCATTAACGCTGCAGGGGAAGGTGCACATTCTGTTTGTCTCCTACATATCTGTTCGGTTCATAAGCATCCTTATAGCACACGTCTGAAACTTACTGGCACGGGAAGGTGGACAACTGGTTTAAGGTTTAGTGTAATCAGCAGAAAGAAAGAAAGCGTTCAGCTGTAACACCCTTTCGGTGCCTAGCTGCCATGCCACCCGAAGGAAGCACGAGGGCTGGGATACTGCCAGGTTGCCCAAGCCTAAACAGGGGAAGTCGAATGGCGGAGGTCGGATTCGAACCACAGACCTTCCGGTCGGTAAATTCGCGCTCCAACCACTTGGGCCATCTCGCCCCCAATGTAATTAGCAGCAGTTTAGGTAAACTATATACAAGTTTCTGTTTACCATCCATTCGGAGGAATAATCAAAAACACAAACGCCAATGCTACTGTCAACGAAGTCGTTTCGACAAGACTCCTGGCGTCGCTGATTCTTCGTCTTACAGTGGCACGCGAAACCTTGATTCATGAGAACCAAGTGGGATTTCGACCTGGTAGAGGCTGCGTTGATTACATCTTCATACTCCGTCAGGTGTTAGAGCGATCCACAATCTTGGCGTTCCTTCACTCCAAGGACGCGTTCAATTCTGTTGATCAGTCAGTGCTGCTAACTACACTTGCTCAACAGGGTATGCCCCAAAAGTTTGTGAACTTAATCCGGTCCCTATATTCAAATGCTTCTGGGTGTATGAGAGTGTTTGGTGAGCTCTCGAAAACCTTAATTACGAAAATTGTTCTCCGATAAGGATGTCCACTCTCTCTATTCTTGTCCCTCTTCGTCATCAATGAAATAATGAGGCGAACGCTAGGAGGTCTTCAAAACCTCGGTGTCCAAATTGCTGCTGGTGAGGACCTTATCGATCTGGAGTACGCAGATGACGTTGCCCTCATTTTTGAAGACCAAGGTGAAGCACAAGCCCTGTTGAATAGACTGATCGCCGTCATACAATCTTTCGGCATGCCGCTGACACCTTCAAAGTGCATGTTTCAGAACACACAGGCTCCTAACGTACCCATTACAATCCAAGCAGAATCGTTGTAGGTTATGGAGAATTTCACATACCTCGGTAGCTCTGATGGAAACTTGTGTGATAAAGCCAGTGCAAGACTCGAATCACGGCTGCTAATTTGTCACTTGTGGTGTCAACAAGGCATATCACTGGGGCTTAGGGGTAACGTGTACCATGTCACAGTAAGGGCTGTGTTGTATGACTGCGAGACCTGGCATCTTTAGACAGATGATTTCAATCTTCCTCAGGTTTTTGACCACCGATGCCTCGGAAGCATTACTGGTTTTCGATTACGAATTACTAACGAGGTGATTAGAAAACAGGTATCTGACTGCACTGTGTATGACTGGAAAACCTCCAGCACCATCAGCGGCGGTGGCTGGTGCTACGCATGCCGAACCACCGTCCACCGAGACGATTGGTGTTCTCCGTGTCTTACAGGCACCAACTACTTTTGTAATGCAATGGACGCACAACTGTAAAGTCATGTTGGACCGCGGGTCATTATCGGAACGTTATGTGGGTAGATCTACTACCGCCTTGATGCCGGTATCTGGTTACTCAAATAGTCCGGACACAAACTGATCAAACCTTCCGGGAAACGATACTTTTGCGGAATTTGTGACAGCAGTATAGTTGGCTGATCTTGAACAGGAGGCAAGAACACAAAACTAGTTCCAGTCGTTCTCGAATCTCGACTCCTTTGTTCTTCTATTTTTATTTCTGTTCGCTTTTCTACCTGATATATGTGCTGTTCGGATTTCTATCCTAATCTGGGACGTTCGGCAAACCGGTTAGCTACTCTACAAATCCAGTCCATCTTTTTTCAGCGTTAACCCTCTTACATCATCTGTTTTATCTCCAAGTGACCGGTTTCTTCCCACCCCTCCACCCAATGGAATTGACCCATCTGAGTACATTGATTATTTTGTTGACTTACTCGCGTTCTGTTCAGTCGAAATTGTCGGAAAAGGTAAGTCCATTCTGTATTTGCTAGAAGTTTCACGGACTAATAAACCAGTATCCAATATCTGTCTATAGGTTTGATATAAATATATTCGTTGCCGTTTTCCATGGGGTCATCTGATGTGTCACGAGAGGCTTTTTAACTGGCAAACAGTACATCACCGTTGCGCCGTTGATTGATTAATGTGACCTGTTGTTTTTGTCTCCTGGCATTTGGCTCGGACATTAGTTTGTCCTCGGTTGTTTTCCCTTGACTTCAACTACCAGCTACATACAGATCCCCTTAGGTCCGATCAGAAGTGGCCTGTTCTGGAGCGGGATGGCTCAGCGTTTGGAGCGTGAATTTACTGACTGGACGGTTCGTAGTTCGAACCCGACCTCTGCATCTGAACTTCCCCTGTCTGGGCTTGGGCAGCCTGGCAGTATCTCAGCCCTCGTGCTTCCTTCTGGTGGCATGGCAGCTAGACACCGAAAAAGTTTTACGGCTGAAAAATTTCTTGTTCTAGAAGGTCCATCTATGAATGCTGACCAAATGTAGGGGGATTTTCTGAGTAGCGTTTTCCTCTTTCGGCCAGAGTGGACAATGGTGCATATAAGTTATGTGCTATGGTGCTGATTCCTTGGATTCTATTCCGCGCAGCAAATCGCCTATTAGGTGCGATGAAAATGTTGTAGATGGTTAGTGGAACCATACTGAAACCCAGAAGCCATTTCCAACCCGACTGGAACTCTTCCGGTGACAAAACGGCAACAGCTGATCCGTTTGGTCGGATGTTGTATGTCAATAGTGTTTGAGAGAACGAAACCCAATACCCCACTGAAAACTCGTCTGGTTTCGACAAAGAAGAAGCTAATTGACAAGGCAGACTAAAGTGCTCGTGTGGTACGGCACTCCGTTTCCGATGGCTCAAACGATGGAGCGCTATGCTCGTCATTCAACACCGGCGATCCATTGACTGACGCATTCCAATCTCTGTTCCACATTAGTCGTATATTAATCTACCATTTCAAATTTCAACTGAAACATATTTCTTCACTGGATACAGAATTTGGCAGTATTCAGACAATCGAACCGGAATGTGGTAAAAATGTACGCAGACATTTTTCGGATGGCCTCTCAGACCGACAGGCTAGACTCTTTCTCTAAGATCTCTGTGACTTTATAAGGAAGCATAGTTCGCGTTATCCAGGGTCGTTTATTTATCGACTGTTGGCGTTGTATCGAAATGCACGGAAAGTGAATAACCTTGGTTGTTGGTCTGTTCGCCGAGCTTGGCAATTGGATTGCCAACGTTTCACAATCAATCGAGGTGACATCGTCAGAGCAGGGTTGAGTGGGTGACCCACCTCCTGCTCTGCCGATGTCACCTCGATTGGTGATGAAACATTTGCAATCCAACTGCCAAGCTCGACGAACAGACCAACAACCAAGCAGCGCACCCGAGCTACCTACATTTCACAACATTGATAGTGAATAACCTGTCGGTGCTAGTACGACTCATCAGTGTTGATCAAGTAAAACATGAGCCTGCGATGAGTTGGTTTCGCCATCCACTTTGGTATGCATGGTAGTCTGTTCTCATTCTGTTGGTCAATCTATCATTCCGTCTAGCCCACAGCTGTGGATCACACTGCCGCGTCTTACTACTCTCGCCTTGGTCATCGGCTTACTGTTTCGGGAATCTGTACAGCAGCATTTTCACTATCCAGCTGTCGTGCAAAATTTGGTGTCGTCGCACGTCAAGTGATCAACGGTTTCGAATAAAATTCAGATAGACCTGGTTTTCTTGAAAAGACAGAGAGCTTAGGGGAGTGAACACTAGGCTTTGGTATATGAGGGCTACTGACTGCGCGATTGGGCCATTGCTGCCAGCGTCATTAACCTATAGGGTTTAGCCCCGCGGTCCCCATCCAGGGAGGCGGTAGTTCTTAACCCGACTATTTTGACTGGCTGGTGTTTGTTAAACTTCGTTGCCAGGTCCTAGAGTGTCCACCACTGCACAGGGCTAGGCGAAAAGAGCTCTGCGAGGGAGACAATCCTCTGACATTTAGCGTACATGTCCTAACTGGCTTAATCTACGAGACCTCTGACGTTTAGCGTACATGTCCTAACTAGCTTAACCTACGAGACGTGAGTAATTCATCTGTCGTGGAAGAGTTCTTTCTTCCTAGGACTATCCTGCGTACCTCAACATCGCTATTCTTGTCAGACCAGACCGATTATTTGGAGACAGCGATGATCACACTGGCAACTTTCGTATATCCTCTGCGCGTAGGGGCCATGTTTCTGATCCATAAATCAGTATAGATCGCACTGCCGCAGTGTAAACTCTACCCTTGGCAGGCAAACTGACGTCGGCCCCATAGGTGTCGGAAGTTGGCAAAGGCTTCCCTGGCCTCCCCGATTCTAGCAATGGTAACATCTCCAGCCAGTCCACTGAGACTTATAAATCTGTCCAGGTAAACAAATTTATTTCCCACATTGACTAGCTCGTTTGCAAGTCCTCACCCAGTCTTCTAGCAATCTTTTCCGAATTATTGAAGTTTTTATGGTCTATCCCCGCCGTCAGTCATCATCATCATCATCATCATTATCAGCTGTAATAACCGCGTACTCGTGAATCGTAAGTGTTGAACACTGATGATAAATTGGTGCATACATCCAGCACTGTCAATGGGCTGTGAAGTGGGGGGTTGGAGGGTTGGGAAGGGAGCTATGCATTGAAGGCAATATCTTGGATGCACGAGCGCCATTGAGGGCGCGACTGGGCCATGTCTGACAATGTCTCTAGCCATGCCCGCCGTCAATTCACAACCAGAATGAGGTAGCCTGGTTTCCCGAAAGCCTTAAGTTTCCCATAACTGTGAACGTGCTTTCTCATTCGGGAACTCCTTGTAAGCATCAAAAGGATTTGCCTTTTCAGTCATTTCGTCGCAATCCACACGTACACATAGCGACATCCCAACCCACCTACACCTGTTCTCAACTTGTCACTGTCGGTACCTTTTAGGATGGGTTCGTTGTTTCCATTGTCAAAGAGAACACGACGCTGAGACAGTTTTGCGCTTCCGGCTTCCCAAGCTCGGAAGGCCATGTTGAATTCGCCCCAACGGTGAGTATACGATCCTATCATTATTTGAAATATTTGGACAAGAGTTCCTTCAATGGCGTTTGTTCTGGATTGTACGCATCTCTTTGATGGCCTTCATCGCTTCCACATCAAAACTGTCCTTCATTCATTTAGGAACAGATGCACCTCACCAGCTGGATTGATACTGAGAGGAACGGTGGATCGCTTCCAGATGACAGTCGTGTGCCATTGGCCATCCTACTTCGAGGTAAACAAATTCAATCTTCCCAGCTGAACTTTCAACCGCGGCTGTTCCTTCTGAGTGAGGATGATCCAGATCAATCCAAACTTACGTCTGTCGAACAACTGGACGTGAGTCACGTCGTGTTGAAGCCCGAAGATTTTGCCGAACTGGCTAAGGTAATTGCGCATCTTGCTGTCTTTTAGTTGACGAAATTTGTTATTCCGTGAAGGATGTATCGCGAACTGAGTAGGGAGCGAGATGGCTCACTGAGTTTGCTGGCCAGAAGGTCCGTGGTCGAACCCGAGTGGTTCGAACCCGACCTCTGGCCCTCGACTTCCCTTGTTTAGGCTTGGACAACCTGGCAGTATCCCAGTCTTCCTGTTTCCTTTGGATAGCATGGCAGCTGGGCACCGAAAGCGTACTACAGTTGAGCGATGTTTGTCTATTAGGGGTGCTAAGGTTTGCCAACTATGACCACCCGTGGTTCGAATCCATCCCTGCTTTTTTGGCCGTTCCTATACACAACCATGTTAGACCTGCTTTTCTTGCCTTGGTGTACATAATTCACAACCGATTTCGTCTGAATGGGGTAAAACCTTTCAATGACTGTATTACAGTCGGATATTTGATCTTACTCCACATGGATCTTGCCCCCTCCAGATGGTGGGGGTAAAATAATTACTTTGTTTATCAAGACACCAGAATACCAAAATTGCCTGCTCTGTTATCCTGTCCAACTCGTAATGTCATGAACAAGGGATTTTCAAGGGGTGCCCTATCAGATCAGTAAATCATATGTAAATCATATGTTTTGACCCATCTTATACGCAGCCGCCGCTTCTACTTGGGCCTTCTAGATACCCTGTCCACCTCAGCCTGTTCACCATTAACGAGGCTATAATTAGGAAACTATGTCCCGATACCGCCTATTTTCCGACACAAAAATCAAACCGTCTGTACTGTGCTTTGAGCAAATACTTTCATCGCCAAATGTTAGCCGTCTTGACTCTCTCTCTCTCTCTCTGAGGACTTGACAAATGCGGATCAATCACAGACCTGGATCTCGCTTACTCTCCATTCATAACATGACATCTGTCGATGGCTACCGAGTTCCTGCTAACTGACAACCAGCAGTGAATCTATGGTGAAAGAGATGCTGGTAGTGAACTGATGACCTACAAATGAACCGAATCTGTACGGCATTGTTTGTGACCAACTAGCGCGTCTGTCGGAATGAGTGTGAGAGTGTCTTGCTGGCTTGCTGCCCTATAATGAACGTTGAAAAATGCTACCAGTTGATGACAACTGTAAGTGGTATGCAGACGTACCTCGATCAGTTTGGAACTACTTATGAGATACTGAGCATTCCAAAAATGAGATTAATATAGCGGCTACGCAAAAAAAAGAACGTGTGATACATAAACAGACACCACCTACCAACAGTATCGACACGTCATCATCCGGATTCAAGAAGCTAGCTGCATTTAGGTGGTTTTGGAACACTCAAAACTTGATATACGACCTCCCAAACGAGCCAGATGGGAGATCAAATGCTCCTCTTGAGTCTATGTTCTGTGGGTCCACCGAGTGGTGAGAAAAACTAGCATTTGTGTGCAGCGAATAGCCGGCAGTTTTGGGGTGGAATTCCTTTCATCTTCCGCTTCACCGCGGGAGTTCCTCTTGCTCAGGGTGAAGCAAAACGAATTCAAACAGTGTTGCTTCAGCCGTGCCACATACCAGGCTGACCGTTGGCGCACCGTCGGTGTGACACGGATTCAAGAATCCCCCGAAAGCACGGTTTTCACAACTGTTTGTATACGCAGGCAAAGTGGGACTCCTTCAATAAAACACGGCTTATCACAAAGGGCCTTCACAGAACTTAACCAAACTGTCCATTATCGTGCGCTTTACTATAGACCTTTTGACGTTATCAGAAGGAAGCGAACAAACCTTGTTTTCAGTGATTGTTCATCTTGACTAGTACATCACAAATTTATATGGTAGCAGAAATCACGTGGAAAAGGTTAAGATCGGGGCTACATACACTTTAGAGAAATAGAAGTCAAAGGAAGGGGGGTTCGGTGCGG